GAGCAGCTGCATAGTGGCGTAGCTCATGATCTCTCCGCGACGCTCCTTGTTCACGGCGTACATGTCGTGATTCATCCAGTACGGGTAGCTCATGTGCAAGTAGTACAGGTAAGTGTTCAGGTCAATGTCCTCCGTGAAGTATGAAATGCGGTCGTTCTGGCTGAGGGTGCGGCGGACTCCCTTGCGCCAGTCAATAACTACCAAGTTCTTGTCGGTCACCTTGATGCCGTAGTAGTTCATCAGGACAGGGTCATTCGCTGCCTTGGTCATCTTCATCATGAATGCCTTGTTGATGACGTGGCTATCGACGAAGAAGTACGGGTAGATTTCGTAAGGAGCAGGCAGAGTAATACCGCGGCAGTCTGCTCTATGGAACACGCATGCGGTGAGGGCATACACGAACATGCCTCCGTTGATGCGCTCCCTCAGCCAGCAGGCTGTCCTCATGAATATGTCGAAGTCCTTGGCGAAGTACAAGATCTTAAAGACTTTGACAGCCTGGATGATGTGCAGCTCATTGGTGTGAACGAAGACCTCGCCACGAGGGAGCATGCCCATCCTGAAGGTGTTAATGAAGTCCCTGACGACCTCCGCCTTCTGCAAAATTAAACCATTATTAGCGACGTCATAAACATAATGTAATATAACGTACAATATATTAGTAAATGATCCGCACCAAGTACTTGTCGACATTGTCCTCGATGACCCACTCCCTGGCCACCTCCCTGACGTCGTCATATATGGTGGGCTGCAGAATGTGGTTCAGGAGCTTCATGATGCAGAGCTCCTTCATCTTGATGTCGAAGTTCACTGTTTAAACAATACTACTTTTAGTGTATGACAAAACGAATATCTGATAAACATGTTGTTAGGAAATTAATTAAACTGTCTAAAGATTGTTGAAATTGTGTTTGTAGGGACTAATATCGAATGTCAATTTATATTGTAAAGTTTTGTTTTAGTTTTGTTTGTCTTTGACGCTTCGAGAGTTTGTTTTGACATTTCTGCTTTAAGTTCGTAAAGCTGATTTTGAGATTACAGCTGGTTTCAAGTAGTTTGATGTAATTACTGTTAGAAATATTATTAAATTATTTGTTTGTTGGTGGGAGACTGGGAGCGGTAAGAATATTTGAAACTCGCAAAAAGATTACAAAGTGTGTGCTAAACTGGCACCAATAATGCACCAGTTCCAAATTCATCATAGATTGGATTTCAACTTCATCGTTATTCAATAAAAAAATATAACAGGTCACAGTAGTTTGATGTGCTTAGCCTTCATAGAAGCGGTAGAAAGTCTCATTGGAACTCACCCATGTTATCCTTGCCGATGAACACGTTGGTGTCATCTTTGACGACGTTGGCGGCCGCCAGGGCCACAGCGGCCAGCACCAGGAGTACTCTCATGATTGCAGCTGCACCACAACTGTGCTGCTCCACTCCACGCCTCGTCTATTTATACTCACTCCACGTGTTTGTCTCACCACTATTATCACCGCGCGCGTCACTATCAATTGTTTTTTTTTTGTGAAGATAACCTCTCGGGAGTGTTGTTGTCCTCCGCCGGTGCATGTCAGGATCCTCCCGGAGTCACGTCGGTGAAATTGCCTTCATTTGCAGTAAAACAGGCCCTCCAGCTCGTAAAAGTGACATGTCGTCGTGAGAAAAAATATAAATCGTGTGAGTAATGGCGAGTTTTATGTTATTTAGTTGATGAGCTCTCTACTAGCGCCGTGTGAGGGGGACTGTGTCAGAATATTCCATTATTTCGTGTGTGAAGCCCCAACTTCCGCAGCCAGTACCTCGCCAGTAGTATGTGATAGTATTTGCGCCAGTCATCAATCACGCCACGTCAGGGTACCGGCGTCACTGCGTGGTATGACAGGCACCTTCCATTATTGAGGGAGAGTTTCGGTGTCCATCTAAAGTCATAAACCTTTAATTCCCAGTCATCCCTGTATCGCTGCTATACATACTTAGGTGCTATTTACAAGATGTTATTGAAAATATCCGCCATAGATGAACCTTTGCTCGTATCCTCACAAGCCAAAGAATGTTTCATCCATACACCTACTACAAATTACCACGTACATAATTGTAATCCTAAAAAAGCTTATATATACCCAAAAATATAATATGTAGGTATACCCATAAATCCCGTCTGAGATAAATCTGAGCGGTCAAAAGTTTGACTCTGGACGCTCACACAGCGGGTGGCGAGCACAGCCCATCAATATTACAGCGGGTTCGATTCCACATAAATATTCTCATGGATTATTTACAACCTCATACATACACTGCTGGCCACTCGAGATGGATGTACAACATAGCACACGCGAACGACATACATCTGTATGTTCTAAGTTCTAGTATAAAGGAAGGCAAAATTGGTAGATGACGTTCAAATGAATAATAACGTCTCAATTAGTACTAAGATTAGGTACTTTTTAATAATTATTTTTAACTGACTTCCAAAAGAAAAAGCAAGGAGGTTCTCAGTTTGACCTGTGTGTGTATGTATGTATGTTTGCGCGTAATTATCTCCTGTTTGGCTGAATCGATTTTGATTCGATTTTCAGAAAAGTGTTTGTTACACTTGCGTGAAGGTTTTAGTATATTAATTAACCGGTTTCAAAATAATCGAGGTCAAAGTCGGGATCTTTAACCGTAGGTTATAAAAGAATGTAATATTTTTAGAAAATATATCACACGCTATTCAAATGGTATTATAACAGATGAAAAGTGTGTTATACAATCACAATCATAGCTCTGAACTGCGAGGTATAACGCTCAGACGATGAATTCAACTAGTTATCAATTAAACTAGAATAAGTGTCAATCGGGAATCCAACCCACAGTACATAGCATAGAAGACAATGACTCAACTACAATGCAACATAATCAATACATAGTATAAAACAAAGTCGCTTTCGCTGTATGTCCGTATGTATGCTTAGATCTTTAAAACTACGCAACGGATTTTGATGCGGTTTTTTTTAATAGATAGAGTGATTCTTAAGGAAGGTTTGTATGTATAATACATGCATATTGCACCCGTGCAAAGCCGGGGCGGGTCGCTAGTAATGTATAAAGTGCACAATAAATGACGACTGTCTCGTTGGCCGAATGGTAGTAAGTGCGACTGCCGGGCAAGGGGTCTCGGGTTCGTTTCCCGGGTCGGGCAAAGTATTACTGGATTTTTAAAAAAATCTCAGTAGAAGCACGGAGTCTGGAATTGCGCCCGGTATATGGCAATAGGTTCACCCATATTACATGAGACACTCATAACATAAATAGTGAAAAGTGGGTGTTACATAGTACAATGTGCACCTCTGCCTACCCCTTCGGGGATAAAAGGCGTGATGTTATGTTATGTACAATAAATGAGATATAGAGAGAAAGTGTTTATTACAGCCGCGGCTATCTCAACGACATGCAATACTAGAGTTATCTCCGTGTTATTGCGGCTAACTGGTAAACACTGGATGCTGACCCATTACTTATAATAGTTATAATTATTAGCTTTAGGTACTATGAAGGTAGGACAATGACACAGTCTAATATATCTCTATGTGCCTCTACAATATGTATATGAATAGAAATTAACTGTTGGCAATAATCTATACTAATCCGCACGGATAAATAAGCTACTACTGTAACCAATTGTATAATGTAATAGAACTTCAAATTCAACGCTAGATCGCCAATATTTAACGAAACAATGCCAGTTATTCCCTAAAACTGGATATACAAAGACACGTTTAGCAAATTGTGGATATCCGTGGCCAACAAAATCCGTGTTTAAAAGCAAGTACAATGTTTTTAAGTTTCGGTCTAAATTCATAAAACCTGGGGGGGAGAAGATATGCGATGAATTTTCCCCTTCAAAAAATCGCCGTCCAATGTCCGGCCGTACCGAAAATGATCATTGTTCTGTTTACCCGTCTCTGGAAAGCCACACCCGCCTATTCTAAACTTTACCTAATCAAGACACAAAGTGATACAATACGTGCCTACCCCCTGGTAACCACAGCTCAGTGGAGTATACCTTTATCTCTATACACGTAGCTTCATAGCAGGGCACAACAATGTAAGTTATCGGCTATCAGGCCGCGGCCGGCAAATTAATAACATCCACTGATAACTATACTTTGTAATGTAATCAGTTAAACAATCGTCACCTACCTCAAGGTGCCATCTTGTACGCCACTAGGTAAATATATATTCGCGGAGAACCTAACGGGTAACCGGGGCTCCGACTCGACGTGCAGGAGAAGGAACGGGGTGGTTTTTAGTCAGTAAGAGTCTGACACTCCCTTCCGCCTCACCCAGGCGGGAGCAGTCATTCGATGATTTTCCCCCCTTAAAAAAAAAAGGTAAATATATATATATGTGCTTGTATACAAACTTGCCATATGTCATGTTAGAAGAAATTCATCGAATCACTTTTATTCCTTGTAAATACAGCTTAAATGCTTCCCATAATTCAGGTGAAACGTTTGGTAAAGCGTGTCCCACCTCCGCCATATTTGTGAACACTCATTTAATGTAGTTCCGTGTCGCGTCGGTCCCGCGGGCGCGGTGTTCGGCCGCCGCCGCCGCCTGCCGAGCAAACGTTCCTACCTTGGCTTTATTTTATTTTAAGATATCTCCTCGGTTCTACCCCCAACCAACAATCCGTTAATCCCGAAGGCGTGAAAGCGTTTCCAACAAAAATAAATAAACAAAATGAAATTGTATCGTATTTATTTATCCCGGCTGGCGATGGCTGCGAATGTATTTGCGATTCGAACCCAGTCCCGATATTTAGATATTTCATTTCCAAATTGCGTGTTTCCACATTTTTGCTTGCGGCCGCAATGGCGCTAATACGAAAATTATGTTATTGGACTTTTCGTTTACGATTTGTATTTAAGTTTGTACCAATTCTTTGTCTACAATTTTTTATCAAACGAAGTAATATTATGACACAATGTATAATGAACATTTCTGCTTGTCCACAGACATTCCGGCACGGGTTCCCGTTCTCCCCGACGGCGCTGGCATGGGATCCCATACAGAAGCTGCTCGCTATAGGCGACAAGGGCGGCAACCTCAGAATGTATCCTTTTCACTACACTACATTGTATTACAGCTGTGAGTTAAGACGCAGGTATGCTCAGAGAACTCAATGAATTGAATACTCTCATAGATTTTATACCTTCTAAAAATGTTCTCTATGGAACTACCAAGTATTACAATATTTTGTGTTAGTATGACTCTGCCCAAGTCTTCAATAATTCAGGTGTAATTATTACTTCCATTCATGTTCGTATATCGGCAATTAGTGCACGGGGTCACCAGGGGTCGCTAGTATCACTGCACTGTCTCCGATAAAGTGACTGTCCTGGAGGTCGAACCTGACACTGTCCAGATAACTGTCAGAAAGTGGCATGTTGTGTGAAGTCATACGTTATCTGTTGTTTCTAGGGAAAGTTTTTATTTGTTGAGTAAACATCTTGTTTTAACTTTCTCTTTACGAGGAACTACACTCGGCCTACAGGAGTCTCGAAATATTAAATACGGTAAGTAGGACTATTTAAAATAGTCGTGCTACAGACTTTTCCCGATCCATGGCTGTATTTTAACAACGGGACTCCTTCTTTAAGTTCTAAGATCAGAATTCATCTAATTTACATATGAATAAAATGTCGGCTTCGTTGGCAGAGTGGTCGCAAGTGCGACTGCCGGGCAAGGGGTCTCGGGTTCAATTCCCGGGTCGGGCAAATTATAACTGGGTTTTTAAAAAACTCTCAGTAGTAGCACGGAGTCTAGAATTGTGCCCGGTATATGGCAATAGGCTCACCCCCCTATTACATGGGACTCATAACATAAATAGTGAAAAGTGGGTGTTACATTGTACAGTGGCATAATGTGCACCTCTGCCTAACCCTTCGGGGAAAAAAGGCGTGATGTTATGTTATATGAATAAAAATAAACATATCGTAGAGAGCCGGAGCCTTACACAACTCGGCGACAGTTTATCAGCAGCTACTGTTACTGAGTGTGCCGGGACACTTACATACGTACATTGTTGCTTATCAGCTGCACTTCCAATATAGACTACCTACAATATACCTAGTGCATAGAAGCAAGTAATCGCCGATACCTGGTCATACAGTAAAATTAATAGACAAAACAGAAAAATATATAAAAATGGTTTAGAAATATTTAATAACTTACACATACAATACATATTATATCTAAACCTTGTGAATTTATATTATTTAGAACTACCTCCAATTTACGTCCATTTTCAAATGGTGGTTGACATAATAAATTGATCAATTTTTATACCTCTTATATATATTATTGCGTAGATCCAAGTTAGGTAAATCGCTGTGTCACCCACTAGACCGCAATGACTCCATAACATCACATAATGCCTAGCTCTTACGAAGGACAGCTCTCATCCAGACTTCACCCAATCACTTATGAATTTCAATTTATTCCTCAAATCTTCAAGTAAGGCAGAGCTCAGGGCTGTCACGCGCAGTGATCGAGATATTCTTATCATGTAGGGCCAGCATAACACGTTATTTACGACCCCTTTAGTACGGTCAGCCTCATAAATACGTAAACAGCTTGGGGGTAATAAAAAAGTCTTTGCTATTTATTCGTGGGTTTGAGTCGTGCCAGTGGGACTATCGCGCCACCCCTGCAGTGTCGACAACTTGCAGTAGATAGCATATCGAACGTCAGCTGTTTGTCAGCGATACATGCTGTTATTGTGGAAACGTTCGTTGTTTATACAAATGAATGGTTTACTAATCGTATCCGCTAGTTTGGTTAGGTATTTTCAATTTCTTCTGTGTATCAAATGTGCTGTACCGTACGTATGTAGAAACGCAAATGCGCCTGGTTACATTTCGAATAATGCAAAATACATTTACGAGACTAACATGTTTTAAAGTCCAGCGCAAAATCTAAACATTTTCTAAAACGTTTCGCAATGTCAACAGTAAATGGCCGATGGTTTTCGTATCAACCAGCTCGGCTCAGTTAAGGCAGATCATTGAATTCCATTTAATCCCTCCAAATCCGTCCTCCAGTGCAGAGGGTACTGTTGAAACTAAAACAAAAAGCTGTCGAGTGCTGAGGTCCGCTCTAAGCGCTCGACAAACAGGCGCCAGCTTCTTGAAACCTTTTTACCAGTCGAGTGGCAAAATGTTCGCCGGTTTGGTCCGGCGCGGACCGCCTCTAACCAGAGAGAACCGGTTATATCCGCCGCCTTTGCAGAGATTAAGTGTGTTAAGTGTCCACTCGACGCTGGTGGAGCTGAAGAGCGAATAATTACAGTTGCGTTTCATATTAAATTAAAGTATTTTTTTAGGTTTTATGTTAATGGCTGGGTTTAGATATTTTCTTTTAACATTATCCATGCGAATAATGACACTGCTATAACTTTTATGATAAAGTCTAAACTCATACACGTAAAAGCACCTTAAACCAAGAAGCTTGTGTTAGTAGGTACCATGTCAACACCGCTCCCGCCTACACCAGGAAACATCAGCAGTATACTTTAACTTTAGCACTAATTGTGACTTTAGTACTAACTCATGCATAAGACTTTAGTGTTTTATACAGTTCTTATGTACGAGTACTTATTACGCGACATAAAGAACACAGAAAAGAAAATCCTGCTGAGCACCATCTTAACTTTATGTAAATATTAATTGAATAGAAACAAGGATTACAGGTGGGATCGCTTTCCCCTAAATATCTGTTCGCTGTTCCATCCCCGGGGACAAACCCCCGCCCTCACCCCGCCCCGGTCGGCTAAATGTCGTCCTAATGTCCCTATAATATTTAGTTTTATTTTATTAACGTAATATTCTCAGCGGACCGCATACAAATTAGATTTTTCCGAGTTTCCTAAACGTCTGGGACGGAATCTCGGTCTTAATCTAGTTCTAGCTAGACAATGTAGCAAATCTAGTGGGAGAGCCACTGAACTAAATGAATTTCGGGATTTCTTGGCGAAATTATTTGTAAAGAAAAATAGTACTCGTAATAATGAACACAAACGGAAAATTTGTTTAAAAACCTTTTCTCCTCAAAGTCGTGTATTAGTTGTACCTGAAGTGGCAACACAAAGCCGTCTCCCTCGAGCACCAGTTGTTACAGTGTTGCCATGCTCTAAGCAGGCACACTTCTTCCCAAGCCGGCCCTCGTTACAAGTGATCCCATATTCTCCTCCACTTCGCCTCACGCACTTAAATAGTTGACAGAACACTTTCTGCTAATCCCCTAGTGACCGCAATTTACCCCTCCCCCGCCGCCCGCCGGTCTATTAGAGCCCTATTTGCAAGGGTTCGTTTATAATTCCGCAAAGCTTTTCGACTGGTTCGCGATTTAATTAAATGTACGCGGATTGGACAGCGTTTAATTTATGTGGGGAGTGTACGGCGTGCGGGGTGTACGGTCAGCGCTGACGTGTCAGCTCGGATTTGTTAAAGTGTCACCAGTTTTAACCGGTTTCGACATAGATTTATTTGACAAATTGGAGATTACTAGAACTACATTACGTACATATTTGGTTCTTGGTGGATTGCTCTTTTAAGAATAATGTTTATTTATTTATTTTTTATTTATTTTTTTGTTATCTACTATGTCTTTGACTAAACTAAATGTGAATAAATATTTAGAACTTGGAGTTAATATTATGTTCTAAGTTTAGAGACCAGTAATTCTTCTTAATACTTAATTAATCTTACCTCAAGTTCGATGTAGTGGTACGTAATTTAATCATCTTAGTTTATTAAGTTCCCTGAATATTTAATATTAGAAGACAAGCTTCACGTTATTAATACAGCGGTCCCAACAGCCACTTCAACTAATATTGCTACGTTGAGATGATCGAATATTTCCCATACTTCTCAAATAACTGAACTTGTGATATTCCAACAATTTCCCGCGCGGTAACTTGTTTGTACTTCCATTTCCACCCCTCGGCGCGGGGCTACGGGTAGACAATAAAATTATCAAGCTGAAAGATGAAAATTGATTTTAAAATAATATATTTGGAGCCAATAAAAATACTCTCTCTCCCTGATGACTCGGAGCAACCTGCCGCCGGGAGGTTTATCGATCACTAGCGATGGTTACTTTATTTCATCATAAATATGTTAATACATTTTATTACGTCATCTATTCACCCACTACGTGTGTGGACACTACTCAAAATTCATCCTTCAGTTTATATCCGGGCTCCAATAAAACACCGTCACCTATCTTATAAAAACACTTTCTACGAGAATATTACTTTCTCCGGCGACCGGACGCGGGATATCCGGCTGCTACCCGGCCGCTACCCGGCCGCTGTATTATCTCGCACGTGATTCTAGCGCCGGATAAGCTGGGCTGTAGACCGGATAGCGTTAATACGATGTTACCCGGCCAGAGCTAGCAGTCGACCTTCGAGGGCTCTGGTTGTATTATGTTACATCATACCACAAATTAAAATCATTAATTATTATCATTACTAAATATCCAACCCCTTACTTTACCCTCCTGGGATTATTCATAATAACAATCTATTACAATCTTAGAGTATCCAGTACTATAATTTAAAAACAACTTGTAGAATTTCCTGGCAACGATATAAAAGTACGAGTAGCCGACAAGTGGCAGTGTTGCCAGAAAACTTTAAAAGGAATACATTCAGTTGGCGAGTGTAGCAGGCTGGCAGGCTGGCACCTGGGTACCAGCTGCTGCAGGCGAGTCGCGCTCGCTTCCTGCACAATTGGCCGACGTTGGATTGCAGCCAATCTCCCGCAGCCGGAGATACTAGGTTCTACAATAAAATATATCACCTCGAATGCCGGAGACTGTATGTTCCATTTTATGTTGCAAATGGAAATGAAGAAAATAATATACTTTGTTTTTATAGATATTTGCTTACTATAATTATCTTTAAACTATAAATAAAATATACTTTAACTTTAGTATCCAATCAGTCCCATAACTTAAGATCAAAGTAACAGTAATGTATAGTCATTAGTCAGTAATTCAAGATGTAATTAATGGCGCGTAATGAGGCTGAAGATGAGACCCATTTTC